GCAAATTGGAAAGGTGAAAAACCTTAAGTGGGTGCCTCATGAGCTGACCAAACGTCAAAAAAACTGTTATTTTGAAGTGTCATCTTCTCTTAATTTATGCAATAACAATGAGCCATTTCTCGATTGCATTGTAATATGAGACGAAAAGTAGATTTTATACAACAACCAATGATGACCAGCTCAGTGGTTGGACTGAGAGGAAACTCCAAAGCACTTCCCAAAGCCAAATTTGCATCCCAAAAAGGTCATGGTCACTGTTTGGTGGTCTGCTCCCGATCTGATCCACTACAGCTTTCTGAATCTCGGCAAAACCATTACATCTGAGAAGTATGCTCAGCAGATTGATGAGATGCACTGAAAACTGCAATGCCTGCAGCCAGCATTGGTCAACAGAAAGGGCCCAATTCTCCATGACAACACCCGACCACATGTTGTTCAACCAACACTTCCAAAGTTGAACCAACTGGGCTGCGAAGTTTTGCCTCATCTGCTATATTCACCTGACCGCTTGCCAACCCACTACCACTTCTTCAAGTATCTCAGCAACTTTTTGCAGGGAAAACGCTTTCACAACCAGCAGGATGCAGAAAATGCTTTCCAAGACTTGATCGAATCTCAAAGCACAGATTTTTATGCTATAGGAATAAACAAAGTTATTTGTTGTTGGCAAAAATGTACTGATTGCAATGGCTTCTATTCTGATTAATAAAGATGTGTTTGGGCCTACTAATTGATTTAAAATTCACGGTCCAAATCCGCAATTACTTTTGCGCCATCCTAAAAGATGGGGTCTTCAATGGAACTCTGGAATGGTTTTCTAATTTGTTTTTGTGGATTCCTTCTGGCTTAAGAAGTATCTTTTTTGGTATAGATAAATTAATAATATTGTTTTAATATGTGGATTATTGTTTTATGTATTGCTTAAATGATGCGTATTTTGTATGATCAATGCCTTTGAGCTCATGGCCAAAACAGTACATGACACAAGAAAACAAAGAGAAGAGGATGTTCAAATGTTCAAACAGAAAGAGTCAACACCTCCGTGATAGAAATCAGGGGTACAACTCACCTGGGGAATGTTAGGCCAAGGCTCTGAGAAAAGGGGTTTCTTACATTTCTTATGTTTGATTTGATGCTGCTTGTCTAAATCTGCCAAGGTAGCTTCTTTGATTGTTGTGACTTTCCATTCTCCTCCTTAAGGAACTTTCAGATTTAAAATCCATGTGGTTGCAAATTCCAAAAAGTCACTCTAAAATGTTAGTGGTCATGCAAAAGCAATTGTCAGCCTGATCAGGAGGTCCTGAGTCTTGCTGAAACCACTCATACGCCAGACACAATTGAGCAGACACTGCCTCTCTGTTGCTCTGCCTGATGTGTATACAATGTATCTTCCCTGTAATAAATCTATTTTTCTTCATTAAAAAAAATTTAGCCTCAAAATTGGGTGAGGGGCTATGGAATGAAAGAATAATTACTGAAGTAAGCTTGCACAGCCTTTGGGCAGTTTTCAGTAGTAATATTAACCACCTCCCTGTAACCTGGTTGCAGAAATAAACTCCCTTTTCTCCCAGCTTCTGCCTCTTGTCTTTGACTGACTGCAGGGGAAGCAGCTGGACTAGTTTATTTGGGACCAGAAGGCCCAGCATCAACATAGACAAACTGCTTATATCTCTCTGGTCATTTAATCCACTCTGCCTTGCGACGGTCGCTGATGTGTATGTCTTCCATCTTATCCCTATTCCCAGTCCTACTAAGAGTGCCCAGAGAGCATAAATGGAGCGGGAATCTCTCTACCCCCATGCCCTGCAAAGGCCAGGCACACAGGTATTCCTGGGAAAATGTCTGAACCACACTGAATTGATATGTTCTCCTGTAACGTGAGAAAAAATATAGGGAGTGGGGCAAGGGAGGCATCAGTCAGCTTTAAGGGCCCAAAAGGCCTGTCCAAGTCAATGAATGCATATCACTGAGCTGAGGAGAGCACACGCTTGGGATTTCTAAGTGGCTGAACTAATCTATGACTGGAGTTTATTCCTTTGATTGACCAGAAAAGGCCCATGGAGCTCTTCAATGCTGAAGGCCACCAGAGCCAGACACACTGAAGCCCCAACCACTGTGAATCCACGTGGATGGAGGTGCTTGGCTGGCAGCTCCTTGGGGGCAGGTTGACATGGAGGAGGCATGTCAGGTCTGCTAAATGGCAGGAACAGCAATGGCCTTGCGGTGCTAAGCCTGAACTCTAACCTGCCACTTCATGGTCTGTGACTTTACTTTTATTTTTTGAGTTGGAGTCTCACTCTGTCGCCCAGGCTGGAGTGTAGTGGCATGCTCATGGCTGGCGCAGGCTCAACCTGCTGGGCTCAGGTGATCCTTCTGCCTCAGACTTCCAAGTAGCTGGAACTACAGGCATGCGCTACCACACCCGGCTAATTTTTTGATTATTGTAGAGATGAGGTCTCACCAAGTTGCCCAGGCGGGTCTCGAACCTGTGGGCTCAGGCAATCCTCTCACCTCGGCCTCCCAAAGTGCTGGGATTATAGACGTGAGCCACTGCGCCTGGCCTCATAGCTTGTGACTTTAGACAACACAGCACTTGATCCTCCAGAGCCTCTATAACAGCACAGTAGAACCTCTGCAATGATGGGAATGTCCTGTGCTGTCCAATGTGGTGCCACGAGTGACAACTGAGCATGTGAATTGCACCCAGTGTGACCAGAGAACGGGATTTCTTATTTTATTTAAATGAATTTACATTGACATTTAAATAGCCACATGTGGCTAGAGGCTACAGCTAGTAGCAGAGAGGATTCTGACTTCACAGGGTGGCGGGAAAGTTGACACAGCATGATGCAGGCCAAGTGCCGAAGTATCAGAAACATACTAACCACGCCAGTAAAGGCTGGTTTTCTATGTTAACACAAAGCATATAGTGACTCAGTAAAATGAAATTATTTTTAAAAGAAAATTGGGAAGAATAAAAAAAGAGAATTGGGGACTTGGGAAGGACTCACCAAGCCCAGCGTTACCTCTGCTACTGCCTGGCTGCCTGCTGTCCCCTCTCCAGCAGACTGCTCTGTCTTGGACCTAATTGAGCTCCAGGGATTCCCAGATCAGTGTAGTGGAAGTTGCAGGACTTTCTCCAGGACAGGCTCCCAGCAATATATACAGAAATAAAAGGTAGAGAACCTTTGGGCAACTATAAAAAAGACCTTACAAGACTTTTTGTTTGTGCTTGAGTTGGGGGTCTTAATCTGTCACCCAGGCTGGACTGCAGTGGCACAGATGATGGCTCATCACAGCCTCCACTTCTTGGGCTCAGGCAATCCCTCTGCCTCAGCCTCCTAAGTAGTTGGGATAACAGGCGTGTGCCTTCGTGCCCAGCTAATTTTTTAAATTTTGTAGAGCTGGGGTCTTACAATGTTGCCTATGCTATTCTTAAAACCCTGGGCTCAAGCAATCCTTCTGCCTGGAGCTCCCAAAGTGCTGGGATTATAGGCATGAACCACTGCCTGGAAAGATGTCTTAAGACTTTAGCGTACAAGTTTGCAGATCAAGAAAGACCGATATCACCTCCTCAGAAGGAATCACTTCATTAGAAGAAATTTTTTTTTTTTGAGTTGGAGTCTTGCCCAGACTAGAGTGCAGTGGCTGCTCCCGGCCACCGCAGCCTCGACCTGCTGGGCTCCGGCGACCCTTCCGCCTCAGCCTTCCAAGTTGCTGGAACTACAGGCACACGCTACCATGCCCAGCTCATTTTTTGATTCATTGTAGAGATGAGGTCTCACCAAGCGGGCTCAGGCAATCCACTCACCTCAGCCTCCCAAGGCGCGGGATTATAGGCTGAGCCACCGAGCCCGGCTAGAAGAAATATTTTTTAACACACATTTTTGTTTTGCCTAAAAGCAACACCGTCCACTACGATTTCAGAAGCCATAAAAAGACCTATTTAAGGTGTTCTTTCTCCCGATCCACCCTGATATATTTCTACCCAAGGGGTAAGGAATATGTCTCTCTTCTGGGACCACCTTAGAGGAGAACTTCAGCTGTCAGCAGTCCATCCAACTCCTGCCCCTCAGCTCGGCAGGCAACCAGCAATTCTAGAAAGGGGCCAGTGGATTACAGGCTTGGGTCAGAGCCAATTGTTTCAGTATTGTCTACGGCTGCTCTCATGCTACCACTGCAGAGTTTAGTAGCACTGACAGACCACTTGCCTGCAAAGCCTAAAATATGTAGTCCTTAACAGATGAAGTTTGCCAGCCCCTGGTCTCTAGCAGGGCCTGGATTTCTTCTTCAGGAATCTATGATTCGACTCCATTCTCTCCTAAGGGTGTATGGTGTTACACCTACACTAGGGATTGGGAGGGGTGAGATGACAAGGGTGCAAGAGGAGAGAGGATGGGAAATGCCCTTTAGAGACCAGACAGCCGGCTCTTCACACGCATGCTCAGTCTTTCCATCCCTCTCACTCCAAAGTCTCTGCTCCAAAAACCTTTGCTTATATATTCTTCTGAAGCCTGAAATTCCATAATTAGTTTAAGGCTTAGTCCCCATTTGAATGCAAACATTCCTAGAACTAGTGCCTTAAGTGCTAGTCCAAGATAAGCTTATTAGGTAAGTCAGCGTTTTACCTGGGAGCAAGTTTTAGGGGAGGGAATTCATAGACACAGTTCCTAAGAAGGGAAAAGGTAATACTCAGAAAAGGAGCCAGCAGCACTTACTGCCTCTGCTCTCTTTGAAATCCCTTCAGTTGGTCTCTTCTCTGGTTTAATCTCCAAATGTTTTATCTTGTTAGGTTCAAGTTGTCTCAAGTTCTTTGGTAGAGGGGTAGACACACATAAATAGAAATAGGTTATGAACCCAGAGTGGGTTACATGCTGCTCACCAATCACTCTCACCGTGGAGATAGCACCAAGGAAATCGTCTTTCCCTTAGGGAGTGGTTGTGAGATCAACAGACAAAAAAGAGACGAGCTTCATTTGGGTTGATCGTTTTCTACTTACTGGAACAAATATATTCTGCAAGTTTGTCTGCATTTCCACAGTTTTCTCCTTCTGCATCCAGGCCAATTTTACTCACTGGAAAACAATAAATAAATGCATTTCTTTACATGGTTACTGAAATCTTCTTGTTCCAGTGCTGTTTTTTAGTGTGTAAATATACAGGCATATGCTTTACAAATGACACAGTGTAAGTCTTTTCTTGAAAGCCGGAGGGGAAAGATTATGAGTGTCCACTAAGCTGAAAAGGTGTCAGGTCCTGGCTCCTGATCCCTAGATGTGTGTGGCTTTGGATAAGGCCTTAGTTGGCTTAGCAGAGCACTACTTAGTTTACCTACAAGAGGGGAAAACACCAAGCATATGCGACTGTTTTAAGGATCATGTGAGATAAGGAGAACAGCCTGCTTGTCTTCTAGGAGGAGCTTGATAAAGGCTGTTTTCTTATCAGTCAGAAGTAGATGATGAGCATTTGGGATCTACTACTTTTGGCAGGAGTCTGCATTAGAGTCCTCGTATTTTAGGGAGGTGAGGCCAGACCACATCCAGAAAGGTGTCATGGGTTAACATGGCCAGACTAGAATGGAAGGGAGGGGAGCAAAGGTTCCATGATAATCTGCCAACAGGGATCCACAGCTCTATGAATGCTCGTCATTTAGGATCAGACTTCCAGACTCCTACTCATGATCGGAGTAAGAAGACAGACCCAGGCTCCCTGCACTATTCTGGACAGCAAACATTTGGCCACCATGAAGAGGGTATTGATGAAGGAAGGGCCCAGGGACCACCAACTACCTGTGCAAAGGAACACAAAACGTCTCTGAGGAGACAGGTGCTGTGGGTGCTCCACTTAGGAGTCACATAAGAGGCTGGCTAGTCACAAAAGGCAGCTTTAATACAAACACCCTCACTTTTAATTTATGGATCATCAAAAACATGCTGAATCAAAGAGAAAAATGTCACATCATGTAGCTGTGAACATTGTTTGAGAACTAAGCTCTTGCTTACGCTGCAATGCCAACCCAGGCTGGTTTAGAAGGGCTTAATGCACCAAAAGCACAAAAAACCTGCAGGAACTGAACTGAGATGGAAGAACTGGCAGTGACACTGGTTAACGAGATTGATATTAATAGGCATTTTTCTCAAGTAATGAAACAACAGGAACCTACTTACAACACTAACTCCCACATGCAGCTTTGCTGATCACAAATAAGCATTTGCTTGTTTGATCTTTACTCCCAATCCCATGAGCAATACAATTCAATTATTACTGCACTAGAAGGCGGAGGAAGCTGTCAAGTGTTAGCTAGCTCTATCTGTGAGGGCAGGGACTGGGGCTATTTGGTCCATGCCACAGCCCACAAAAGCCTCTCAAGAAATGTTTGGGGGGCCGGGCACAGGAGGATGGCTTGAGCCCAGGAATTCAAGACCAGACTGGGCAATATAGCAAGACCCTATCTCTCTAAAAAAAAGATTTAAAAAAATGTTTGGGGAGTGCATGTTTGGTCTAAGGTGTCAGTGTCAGTCCCTGCATGTAGCGAGACTGGCACCGCTTCAAGTCAGTAAAACCTTTTTTTTTTTTTTTTTGAGTTGGAGTCTCACTCTGTTGCCCAGA